AGTTGCCAGAGCAAAAAGAGAATCCAAACTGGAATAAACAGAACACCGACAAACAATCAAAACAAACAGACACAAACAAACAACCAACCAAACAAACAATCAAAACCAAAGAAACACAAGACAATCAAGCAAGCAAGCAAGCAAGCAAACAAGCAAACAAACAGACAAACAGACAAACAGACAAACAGACAAACAGACAAACAGACAGACAAACATACATACAAACAACCAAACCAAACCAAAAAGCAAGCAAAACAATACAAAAAAACATACGGCAAGACAAGACAAAACACAACAAAACAAACAAATCAAACACACGAAGCACAACCAACACACACAAAAAACAAAAACAAAAAACAAGCATTGCAAATGAAACCATAAACACAACCAGGAGCAAACAGCCAACATCAGAAACAAACCAGCAAACAAACACATTCACAACCAACTACCATCAGAAACAAACCAACACAAAAAACGAATTCGGAAACGAACACACAAGCAAACACAAACAGCAAAACAAAAAAAGACAATCCGGAACTCACAACACCAATAGACAAACGCACAAACAAACACAAAACACGCACAAGCAAGCAAGCAAGCAAGCAAGCAAGCAAGCAAGCAAGCAAGCAAGCAAGCAAGCAAGCAAGCAAGCAAGCAAGCAAGCAAACAAACAAAACAAACAACCAAACACGCAGAAAAACAAGCAAAGCAAACTGCACAAACAAAACCCAAGGAAACCAAACAAACAAAACCAAACCAGCAAACAAAAGCAAGCCAGCCAGCCAGCCAGCCAGCCAGCCAGCAAGCAAGCAAGCAAACAAGCAACACGATCCAACCAACCAACCAACCAACGAACCAAACAAACAAAGAGACCAAGACACAAGGGCACAAAAAAGCAAATAAGCAAAGACACAAAGAAAGCAATAATTCAAGAAAGCAAGAAGCAAATAAAGAAAAAATAAAATAAAAGACAGAAACAAACAAACAAACAAATAAAGAAAGAAATAAAGAAACAACAACAAACAAACCAACCAACACGCAAACCAATCATGCAAGCAAACCAAGTGTAAAGTAAACAAGCAACAACCACAAACAGCATCAGACAAAAAATCAGAAGCAAACAAAACACAAAGCGAAGAGCCCACGCAACAAACAAAAATAATCACATCTAGGCCCGACTGGGAGGTCTGGAAACACACTCGCCCCCCCTCCCGTCGTTTCGGCCGTGCGGCAGTCCAGCGCCTCTTTCTGCGGCTCCGCCTGTGGCAGGGAGGGGCCGCTCACCATCTCCGGGAGATCGTCGAAGAGGCCCGGAAGGCCTGACAAATGCGACCCGCGCCCATGGCTTCGGCGTCCCTTCTCTCACTCAGACCTGGGAAAAGGTCGCCTTTTGGAACCAAGAGACAAATTTATGGTCACAGGTGAAGCCAAAACGTGAAAAAGTTGATTCGCTTCGGGCAAGTGAGTTTGGTTACAACTTACCAGAATCGGAATACGCCATGAAGCCTCGGTACCTCAAGTAGCATAGCTCAGAATAATCCCTTTCACTCCCGAAACCATCCTCAAAAGCCCTTTTGGTGGAACAAGGAAACATGAAGGAGCCCAGGATTGCCAGTCCAGCTCTATTTTGTAATTTCTTGTAACTACTTCTTATCAAAAACCCTCGCAAAGGATGGACCGGCCTACCAGCCCCCAGTAAAGGGTGTCTTGACCAACGGGCAAATCGGATCCAGCTGCATCTGGATCTATCGGCCTGCCGCCTTGATGTTGGGCGCCGGCCCCTCAGGCAGGCCCTCGCACAGCATCACGTGAACATCCTGCAGAAATGAGCGGTGGCCAAACGAAAGTGGGTGGGCAACATTTCCGCACCAGCTGGCAGGCTTTTCCCAATATTTGGATTTTATCAATTCTAGCCTGGTGAGCCACCAAACAAAAAAACACAAAGCATCAGGTCAATTGGAGCAAAAGCGGGAAGCTCATCGGCACTTCTGGCCCTTCCGTCCAAACAACAAAAGACAAGAACCCCACATTCTTGGATGCCCCTGCAAGGAAGCCAACACTGAAAAACCGGTTGTGGAAAACCGAACCTCTTACGTGTCTCAACCGGATCCTTCTCAACCTATCCCCCACTCCTCAAGTCCAAAAACAGGACCAATGGACCAATGGAACTTGTAAATCATTTCACCCCGACCTCTTAATTACTCCCAACTCCCCAAAGCAAGAACAAAAGCGGACAGCCGCGTGGTTTCCCAGCTCCCCACCCTGTGAGCCCCTAGCCAACCTCACCCAATCCCAAGCACCCACCCCTCGCAGCCTCCCTCCCCAGCAAAGTGGTGAAGAATAGAACAAAGCTGTTGTGGCATTGAAAGGGTGAACGATTGACAGATGGAAGCTTGCTCTCCCTAGTTTCGGGCCAGACTTCGACTCCCCCCTGACTCCCTGCAAAGTTTGCTCATGTTTTGCTCATGTTTTGCTTGAAGGAAACCTGATGGACAAACAAACCAACAAACGGGCAAGAGCTCCAAAAGGTAAGCCACCCAAACGTTCAGTTTGTGTGTAGATTGTCATTATCATGTGGCGAAACTCCTACCCTATCGCATGCGTGCCAATGCGGGAAGCCAAGTCCGGCCATGAGTCCGTGAGTCGGGCAAAGCTCCGAGACACAGCTCCGCTCCTCGTTCTGCGGCCTTGGGCCCTGCGCGCTGCAGGCCGCCGACACCGCCCAGGGTCCTGAAGACGTCTCCTGAGACTGGCCCTGGGTCAAAAGAAAAGGGGCACCTTTTTTAGCCAAAACGAGGGCACCCCTTTTCGGTTGGTTACTTTAGGGAGAAAAAGCTTGTTGGCGGATTTCTGTTTGGTTGATACCCCCCCCAAACGGAAAATCGTGTGCCACTGTGCAATTGGGTCTCCAAGGCGATCGCCTCTTTGGCCACCATGGCGCCGGATCGAATCCCGGAGTCGCGCGCGATCCACGCCCGCTGGAGCGAGCGAAAGGTCGAGTTTGGGGCGTCGGATGTGGTGCCGAAGTGAAAGAAGCTCTGCCCTGCGCATCTTCGGGGCCCCTTTTTTGAGGCGCCAAAGCTTCCATTGCAGGTCCTGACCCCTCCAATGATAGGGGGTTTCTGTTGAGTGGATTGGCCAAGGTTAAGACTGTTGTTGGCAACCAACAAGGGTCTCCTCCAAGAAGTGACTACGGGGAGTTGGTTGTCAATCTCCGATTCATGCTGAGGTGGCTATGAATTCCTTGGGCAGCGGCAGTTCGGGCGAGCATGTCATGCTACATGGGCCACGGTCAATGTGTTGTGTCCCCCAATGACATTGGATGTTGGTGAGTAGCCTCCATTTCCTAGTAGCTTTGGCGAGCGTCCCTTTGCAGCTTTCTTCAAACCAGTAGGAGATAGTAAATATTCACCGTTGATCACATGCCGATGCATTTCGTTCAATGCCGCAAAGCCCTCGCAAGAGCTGATCCACCAAGCAGCGAAAGACAAGGATATGCTCATATCTACCATGGGTGAAACTCTTCGGAGTGACGCCTACCCGATCTGAAATCCTTAGGGGATGCTCGGCCGTGCTTGCAACATAAATTCCGAATAACGTGTCCCAATGTTCCCTAATTGGAACTTTAAGCCTGTTACAGGGGTGAATTGTCAGGGTACAGTACCTGCTTGAGCACAACAGCCATGTAGACCCCAACGATCTGAGCCATGAGCAATATTTAAAAAATGTGTTTCATAAGAGGGCATGGCAAAATTGCTTGACTCCACGCGCGGTTTCGATAAGGGATCCCTCAAACACGGTTCCCCTTCGAACAGCGCCCCATCAAGAAACTCATTTTCGATTAAAACCACATGATAAGGAAATCGAGTCAGAACCTTTTTTTAAACAGGAAAGTTGGGTGCCGGATATGACGACTTTAAAGGGGTTCACCCCTCATCAGAAGTTGAGACAGCACTGTTACTCAAGCTTGAAATGTCGGCGAGCTCCAAGGTGCTGAAAAGGGAAAGGAATTCGTCATGGAGGACAAAATCCGCGCCAAGCGGCACAAGTTGAAATGAACAAAACCCTAATTGGATAAATCACCTACCGACTGGTGCTGGATTTTGTCCATGCACAGCACGAGGCAAAGTCAGTGTGGGCTTTCTAAGGGGGCACCCCCTGTGGGCGGTGTCCCTTGGGTTTATTGAAACCCCCCAAGCTTCAAAAAAAGGAGGTACCCGTCTTCATTGTGTTCAATGACCGTGGAAGTGGCTGAATCCCCCCGATTCTCTCCTGGTCCCTTGTCGAGTGTCCCACATATCTTTTTGCTGAGTACGGAACCCCGGTTGCCAGGGCTTGCAACACCGAGCCAGAAAAGTGAAGGGGTCATCGTGCAAAACCACTCGCAGGTCCCGGATGTCCTTGAGGTTCAAAAGGCAAGCTTTGTTTGGGATCCTGAAAATTTGAACTTGGCCTCTAACGCGCTCAGGTCTTTCTTTGACGGTTTCGATGAACGTCAGAAGTTCATGTCGTGCTCCTTCCTACAAATCTGGGGTTTGACTCTGAACATGGTTTTTTGAACGAAATGGGGCCAGTACACCGGGGGTGTATGATGTCTCAAAATAGGGAACCCTCAAAATGGTTGATTCCTTGTGGTGTCTGTTCAAACCAACCTCAAGAATGGTACCCTCGAAATCCCACCCCCATGTATCAAGCAGTAGGGTCCTCTGGATTGGTGCGTCAACGTGACTCTCTAAGCTATGGGTATGTGTCAAAATGGATTGGCACCCCCAATGCTGGCGTTCCTTCTGGGCTTCGTTTAAGCCAACCCTAAGGACGCCCTCAAAAAGCACATACCCATAAACCTCTCTTAGCACATGCCAAGAGCACATGCCCTAAGGGCGCCCTTATATTACGATGTACGCTCTTCATACCTTCAAAACCTCCAAACCCACGTGTGTGTGTGTGTGTGTGTGCCTGTGAGCTGTGAGTCTGGGATTGTGTGTGTGTGTGTCTCAGTCCTCTCCGAGAATAGCTTGTACTCGCGGCCTCATTCGAAGAAAGTCGCCATGGGCGAAAACCACGCGAAATCCGACGCCACCGCCCCCCCTCCCCAAAAACACTCAAAACTCGAGCTTTGCTTACAAACATACACTAGCTCCACACGGGGCTCCAACCCTCTGGCCCAAAACCAAAGGGTAGCCCAGGATCGAATGGGAGCAGCTCTGTTTGGAGGTCCTCCAAACATATGTATCGTATCCCACGTCAAAAATGTGGGGCTACACCCCTACAAATCAACATGGAACCCAGAAAACTCCCGCTTGTAGAAGGAAACTCCTCTTGGTGGAGCCCCCTTAACTTTTGGGTCGTTAATTTGCAGGGGAGTAATTATCTCCCATCGGCATATTCTTTCCTAGCCTACCCACATTCTGGTAACAATGTAGAGCTACGTCGCCCCTTACATGCAAGCTGATGTGGGTGGGAACAATTGTCGAGCTACGTCCCCTGCGTTGCACACTTCTTAAGACTGCACTGCATTCGCCCAAATATCACACGCATCTCGAAACAAGGAACAGGACCTCAGAACGTCAGCGAGTCTAGTAAAAGGAGTTGTTGCATATCTTGAATCAATTGCTGCAGTGGCAAACCATCCCTCCAAGATTCTTCCTCAACCTGTTGCCGTCACAACAACGAACACGATGCCTGAAAAGATTAAACAACAAAACCAAAAAACCTTTGATCATAGTTGGGGCTGGTTGATTAACATTGATTGCTTTCTAGCTTCTAAGTTTTCCCTTTCTGAAACAAAGGCGACTCAAAAACTGCCACATTTTGGCATGACAGCATGGCTGGTGGCTGGTGGCTGGTTAAATCTTCAAATGGGTGCCTTTTTCGGGGAACCCTCTTTTGGTTGGTTTTAAAGGGAAACCAAAAGGATTCCAGGCATTTTGGGGGATCCCCCTATTTTTGAGACAATCCCACATGCCGAGTCTATGATGCAACACTCCGCACACTGCAACACGTGTTCTAGACTATGGGGATGTCATGGTATGTCCTTTTGGCGGATCCCCACCTTGGTGGGTTCCATGTTGATTTCTAAGGGATAATCCTTAGGGGGGCCTAACAACAATTACCCCTGTAACCCCCCCTTCTGACTTCTTCCACTTGGATGTTTACTGAAATTGGGGGATGCTCATCAATCCGAGGTTTACCTATATGGGTGTCTGTCTTGTTTTCCGGAACCCTCAAGAAGGGTCCCAGGGTGCTTTCCTGTTTATTCGGTCCCCTACTTTGATACATACCCAAGTAGCAACCAAGTAGTTTCTTGACCAAACGAAAACTAGAAAGGGGAACACATAGCGACCTGTGTTGTTTAGACCAAAGTGAACCACAGGGGACATAGCAACCAGTTGCTTTGATGAAAACGAAAGGGAGACCAACAGGGATGAATTATTGGTGTGCAGTGGAGACTGGTCCGTTTCGCTTGGCTGCACCAAAACTAAATGATGAAATTGGGGTGCGGACAATGTAATTACTTGCTTTGCAAGTGAGAATTTCCCGAAAGAACATATACGGGTGTCTCTGTTTGAGGGTACCATAGAGCCCTAGGGACATGTTTAAGGTCTAAAATGGTGGCCGAAGAGGGCACCAACTCCGAAAAACAAGCCCTGCATAGTACTCTCTTAGTACTCCTGTAGTACTCTTTGTATATCCTAAATCCTCCAAAAAACAAGTCTAAGTAGAATCTAGACTCACCCACATAACCACCAATGGGTTCTAACAGTACTATATAACTCAATTGAATGCACACCCATTTGGCCACTTAAGAAAAACATGTCGCACGGATGGGACGGGACGGGACCCGACGTGGACGCTCTGCTGCGAAGCCTTCTATTCTCCCCCGGCTAACTCCCCACGTACACCTGTGCAACAAGGATTACCAACCAGTTGGGTGGGTCAAAATAGGGGTGCCGTCAAAATCGGTGGTTTCTTACGGTTTCTTTTTGGTTTCTCTTTAGATCAACATGAAATACATCGACACACCTGCAACCATGTTTGGTTCTCTTTCCAACAATCAAGGAAGTGGACAGGCCTTGAGATGGTCTGCCAAAAGCCGTCCCTTCCATTCTTGGAAAGGGGGCAACCATTTAGCTACCTGGACCATCTGGGTGATCAAAAATAGACTTGGTCCCCAAACCAATTGGTTTCCTTCTGGTTTCCTTGAGCCATTTCGAGGGGAAACAAAAACCAGCGTGGAATCGTTTCCCTACCATTTTCGTCGCCCAGCTGTTGCTTGGTGTCCAGGGTGAATCCAACAGTCCCATAAAAAGCGGTATCCGACTTTGTCCAAAGGGCGAAAGCCGGCGCAAATCAGCGGCCCGTGCCAGGCCAAAGCAGCGGCAGCCTGGCGACCGGCGACCGCTTCAGCGGAAATTGACCATCTGGGGTGGCCAGATTTATGGCTTGATACGTTGAACCCATGACAAGTATGGTGTTTTTTGCTAACAAGCAAACAAACAAACAAACAAACAAACAAACAAACAAACAAACAGTGGTTCATAGTTTTGGCTGAAACCTTTGTAGAGTTGTTAAGCCAAACAGGGAGTTTTTGGATGCCACTAGAGATCTATCGGCAGTTACTTTATGAACATATCCTATGGCCGCATTGGGGAATTGGAATCATTCTTGTTTCTTGGCTCGGTGGCTATTGCTCCCCTGTGCAAAAAGACAAACTTGTTTCTAGTGGGCAAACACACATGCTCAGGGTTTACGACCGAACCCAAAAACGCAACCAAGATTGAGGTCTCTGTGAAAACCTCCTAAGGAAGATTTGCTCGAATGCCACTGGCCAAAAGACCGGAAAGCCGCCGCGCAGCTCGATCGATCTCTTCGCGCGGAAGACTCGGATCTCGTCGCAGGCGAAGTCGTTGTCCGCTGGAGGCCTCGCCTCTTCTATGAGCCAACCTAAGCGGGCTGGACATGGCTTGGATTGCTGGTTTGGAGGTGTTCCGGGGGTTCCCACTAACCCCCCCCCAAACAAAAAACCGGGGGTTTACCTGAACATGCCGGGGTGGGGGAAAAAAGGGTTCCGTAGAGGATACATCAAACCACCTGCTTCACAGGGGAATCCTCTAAATCAGCTGGTCAAAGCGAGCTGTCTTTTTTGGAAAATTGACGGGTCCCACTGGTAAGTGATTCGAACCAAACTGAAATCAGTAATGTAATGTAATGTAATGTCCGAGAACCACCCCTCAGCTGTGACAAGCACAATATGAGACCTCTATTCTCAACCAAACTGCAGATAAAGCTAGGTATCCCTTTTGGAACATGACGACCTGTCGATTCCACGGTGTCTGAATAGAATCAAACTGAAATCAGTGGAATCCATCTATTTTCAATCAAACTGCTGATTCAAACTAGGTGTCACTGTGGGCAAATCGACGGGTCCCACGGCAACTGATTGGAACCAAATTGAAAGCAGTGGAATCCATCTATGTTCAATCAAACTGATCACCTATGCTAATGGGTTTGTGCAAAACGAAACTTGGGTATACTTGATGTTCAGGGTGTGCCCGAAACAGACTCATAGCTGCTTGAGTCGCTATCAACGCCTGGCACGTGATTTATGATTTAGCCTCTTCCAACCTTACTCTAATGTCAACTTTGGATTGATCCAAAGGGCCATACTAATCCGGGGTGGTTCCCCTTTCGGTAAGGAAACAATGTTACCCGTTAACCCCCCTATTTTCTAGAATAGTAAAACCCACAGCTCGTACAAGGCTGAACAACAGCGCAGTGCAACCCCACCCAAGCAAGCAACCAAGTCGAGCCTGGTTGAACCGACACACCCGAACACTCATTCCAACTTGTGCACCATCAGGCTGTGTCAATCCCAAACAAACATAAATAATGGGTTGGCATTTGGCGCCCTGTTTGCTCCACACAATATCTGAAGAAGTTGCACCGGTCTGTGCATAAGCTTCGTTTGGCGTATAGCCTGCCCGTGGTCTCCTTTGCACCCTGTTTTGCAGGGAATGGGTATAGGTTAAATCAAATAAAGTAACAATTAATTCATTTGATTTGCACGGGGGCAAGGAGCAAGTGTTTAAAGAGTGAAGAGTCCAGGCACCCCAAAACGCACACCCACCCCAAACAGGGCCACGCATCCGGCAGGGCATGTCAACCCAAGCATGTTGCATATTTGGGGCAAACAAACTGCAGTAACACCTGATTCTCTAATCATGACTTAATCAAGTGCCTCACCACCCCATTCAAACATGTTCTGAGTCCCCCTGGATTTCTGTTGTCTTCCCACAACAAGGGGAAGCCGAAGCCCCGGCTTGATTCCGCATCGCCCACTTAAGTGTGCCCTTTTTTAGACCTCGAAGTGGACTTCGGTGTCCGCGTTTCTTTTCTTGAACAGGGCTCCCTATATCACCCCTACTGGAAACTCACCTACGGACCGTGTTAAGTTGATGATTGAAACCACCCCCCGTCGACACACCCAGCGGCCGCTGGAGCGCATCAGCTCGTGGAACTCCTGGCTTTGTCTGCCCAAAAAGGAAGTCACACACCCATGATCAAAGGGCGACCCCAAAAAAATGGCTTCGGTTTTACTGGAAACCCCTTTTAAGCACAGGATTGGAAACGAAAACTCAAAAAAGGCAAACTCATTTGCAGGGGGGCATTCAGAGGGAAACCACCCTGTTTGGGAGTTTGCCTTTTTTCAAGAGAACCAATCGACATGGCAAGGGCGTCTATTGTTTGGAGTTGGTACCCTCTGGGGGTTGCAACAGGAACATCAAGTTTGGGGTACCCTTATTTTGCCCACACACCCACAAACCAATACAAACACAAAGAAAAAGAAGAAAACAAAAAAGGGCTGGACGTGAAACGTGCCTCCCATCTCGGACCCTTTCAATGGAACTTGTCGTGGCAACTTACCTCGTGGAGTTTCAGGTTGCCGATACCCTACCACCCCAGCATGCTCTCAGCATGGATTCGAAGCAACCACTCAACGGTATCCTCAGTTGCCCGAAGGACTCAGAAATACAAGGTTGACCTTTTGGGGCCTTACTAAAAGTGGACCGAAAGAGAAACCAAAAGGTTGAGAGGTGGGTGTTGAACAACTGAGTATCACAGAAGGGGGCAACACCAATTTCCAGAACCACTTCTGGTTGTCTCGCAGGAAGCCGGCCTTATGAGCCGCCGGTTTCATGCCTTCACTCCAATGGAGCGAAGCTGAGAAGTGGAGTCCAGGATTTTGTGGTTAGCCGATGTCGTCCAAACCCTAAATGGACCACATTAATGGATATGTTGACCGAAATGGGCCACTCAGTTCCCCTGATGCTTTGGCATGGAGTACTCTTGAAATGGCACGAAGTGGAAACCAAAATCATAGGGGATCGCCACTTTGACATGATATATACCTGCAACTTTGTTGCCCCAAAAAACAGCCGTTTCACGAGATGCCACTTCGACGGCAGTGCCATGGTCGGGAACGTGGCCCTTTGGACGGGACAAGTTGTCGTTTGGACGGGTAAAGTTGCCGTTTTGATTTGGCAGACGAACTGGCGGAAATGCTCAACCTGAACAAGTGCTGTCGCTGTTTCGCCACAAAAGCGCCATCTAGATGGAACAGTGGAAAAGATTGTTTTTAAGCAAACAGCAGAAAATGCACCCTCCGGAAAGCCACGGGTATGGGCGTCACAACATGAGGGGACCCTCAAAATGGATGGTGTCCTTTTGGTTTCCCTTTAAACCAGCCCAAAAGGGTAGCCTGAACAAAAAGACACAGCCAGATTTAAAAGGAAACCTAAGTCCTGTAATTTAGGCGACACGTGGTAACTCAGGATACTCAGGGTCCAAAGCTAGAACTTTACTTTCTATGCTGGAAATAGGTGGTCACACGCAAGGCGCAGTGAAGCACGAACCCGGCAATTCTTCCAGGTTGTGGCAAAACAAGAGGCAAGCAAGGGTGATCCTGTGTGCGTTTCGGGAATCCTTGCACTGCACTCTCTCAATGCCACAAATGCCAACTAGCACGCGCTTTTCAACACCTCGCCGCTTTGCACGGAATTTCTAACCAGCACCCGTTTTTCGACACCTCACTTTGTGCAGTGCGGGCGTCCCGTGCTCCCTGAATGGAGCTCATCCCCCTCGGTGGTTTGGAGCCCGATTGGTTTCGGGGTGAACTGAGGGTCCATTTATCCTCAAGAACCAGGGGGTTCAAATCCACAATCCAAACCAACAAACAAATGATTGCCTGTTGTTGCCTGAACATTGGCCCCAAAAGCTTTCATTACCTAATCCGAGCTGACGCTTGGTTCTGACATGGCTGAGGGTTTTCATTGTACATGGGCACTGTACCAAGTAAAACGCGCAGAAATCGGTCTGAGACGTTTCCTTCTGGTTTCCCTTTAAACCACTCCACAGGGCACCGAGCCCTTAAACAAAAATGACAAGCCCAAGTGAGTGTCTCATTTTAGGGCACCCACCAACATGTTCCTTTTTTTCCTCTTGGTCTCCCTTCAAAAACCGGGGGGAAAGGAGGGTAACTCCCCAACCAAAGGCGGACACACCCCTTCAATCGAGCTTCGGGCCCGGGGCCTCAGCCCGATCCCTGCGCTCCTCTTCCACGCCGCGCATCTCTTGGGCCCAAAGCACCTGGCGCACCTCGAGGCCATTCAGCGTTCGGCTGAGGTCCCGAAAGGCCGCCGGAAGGTAGACGCAGTCCTCGGGCCCGTGGAAAACTCACGGCGACGTTGGGGTACCGCGAACCCAAATGAATGGGTCATGTTCAACTTCCAACAAAATGACAAGACACGTAGAAGAAAATGAGAAACGCGAAGCCGTAAACTGGACCCTTTTGGCTACTTGTTTGCCTTTCATTCTGACGGGCACTGGGATGTCTGACTCCCATGGAAACTGTTGGTATCCAGTTGGGGGGGTACGTATGACTGAGAGGAGCGGCTGACATGAGGACAGTGTCGACCTTCAGGGACGAAGGAGTGCCCCACTCCAGCTCCAGCGCATTTGCACAGTCCTGGGCGAATCATCAAGTGAGCAGAGATGCTTTCGCGACCACGTCTTTTGCTTTCGTGGGCAGTGTTTCCCTCAGGTTTGCTTTCGTGGCGCTTTCGCGGACAGCTTTGACCTCCATGCGCATGCGCCAGTGTAAAACCTTGACTACAACTCCCAATCATCAGAATAAAGACTTTCAAGTCAAGGGTCTTTCGCGGCAGGACCTTCTCTTGGCACTTTCGCAATAGGCTTTCGCAAGCTTTCGCGGCCGCCGTTTCGGTTTTCGCGGAGGCTCCATAGGACACCCCCTTGGCTACTTATCATCATCAGGGTTTATGGCGCTGCTCAAGCGCTTCCCTCACAAATTGGCAGAAGGAACCC